TTAACTGCTGTCATTCCAGTCACTTCTTGGCTTCTTGTATTCTGACGCTATTGGTACGTGAATTGGTGCTCATGGAGGGAGATGAGCCGTGTAGAAAGATCGGTGTTAGGGGTCTTCTCGAGTGGAGAAATCTGTGACTGCTGCGTGCCTCCCCGTGTGCCCGCAGTTTGCCCTTGTTATATATCCAGCAGATGAAAAGCCTCTCTGGGTAAGTAGAGAAAGAGTGAAAGAAGGCCCTATACATATACAAAGGTATATGTGTATACCTTTTCATCTTCTCTTTCTGTGTAGAAAGTTTTTTTTGGAAAAGCTAGGAGTCTAGTGAGGATTCATTGTGCTCTTGGGAGGATGGAATAATTGAGACGACTGAGCTGAGACATGTTGCATTCAAAAATCTTAGTTTGCAGGGAGCAAAAAAGAAATTGCTTACCCTCGATCCCATCTTCTCCATTTTTGTAAAGAACTCAGTAGAACACGATGTAGCTGGCTCAGTTCAGAATCTTGAAGCATGATGAAACCATGATCCAAGAGAGTTATCTCTATGATTCAAAAGAAAAGAAAAGGAGATGTGAATATGGAAGCCATGAGGCCAGGACATGATAATACACTAGAAATAAAATTAATACATGTAAAGATTTTAAAGTGCTCAAGTTAGAGTCCTGCAGAAAAATGAAATTGAAATCTAATTTAAATCTAATAATAAATTAGATCAAAGAGCAACTGGGGGAAGGATCTATACAGACTGCAGAGTAGATGATAAAAAATAAGAGAAATATTCTAGTTTCAGATTCAGAAAACCACAATTTTAATTCTTGCCCTAATACTAGTCAGCAAGAATCTTGAATACATCACTGAACTAATCTGGACATCAGTTTCCTCATGTATAACATGAAAGAGTTCTCTTATCTCCATTAAATCTTAAAGATTCTTTGCACTTTAAAATTATACAATGAGATGCAACTTAAGTAATGAGAAATTCATCCTTAACCATCAGGGAAATGCAAATTATAATCATAATAAGATATCACTACACACCTATCGCAATGGCTAAAAGAAAACGTAATGACAATGCCAAATGCTGTGGAGGATGCAGAGAAACTGGATCAACTCTGCATTGCTGGTGGGAATGTGAAATTGTACGGCTATTCTGGAAAGGGTTTGGCAGTTTCCTAACAAAACTAAACATACAGTTACTATACGACCCAGTATTTGCACTCTTGGACACTTATCCCAGAGAAATGGAAATTACGTTCACACAAAAACCTATGCAAGAATGTTTATAGCACATTTATTCATAATAGCCTCAAACCGGAAACAACCTAGATATCCTTTAAACAAACTGGTGTATTATACTATGGAATACTACTCAGCAATAAAAAAGGAATGACTCATGCAGCAACTTGGATGAATCTCCAGAGAATTATGCTGAGTGAAAATAAAATCCCCAAAGTTTACTGACTGTACAACTCCATTTATGTAACATTCTCGAAATGATACAATGATAGAAATATGGAATAGATTAGTGGTTACCAAGGATTAGGACTGGGGGAGGGGTGAAGGGAGAGAGTAGATTTGGTTATGAAGGGGCAACAGGAGAGATCCTTGTGGTGGTGGAATTTTTCTGTGTCTTGACTGGTGGTAGATATGCATCTATCCGTGTGATAAACACACACACACATAAACACACCGATGAATACAAGTAAAGCTGGTGAAATCTGAATAACGTGGATGGACTGTATCTCTATGTCAATGTCCTGGTTATGAATTATGATATTGTACTATAGTTTTCCAAGATGTTATTGTTGAGGGAAACTGCATAAAGATTACATGGGGTCACTGCAATATTTTTTACAACTGCATGTGCATCTATAATTATCTCAAAAAAGAAAACCTAAACTGGGCATATTTTGTTCACTCTTGTATCCCCACTGTGTGGAACTGTGTTGAGTACATAGAAGGTGCTCAATAAATTATTAATTTATTGAATGAATGCGGAGAGAAGTAGAGAGAGAGAGGACTCTCATGGAAGAACTTGCATATGTATAAAATGATTCTTTCATTTGGATCATAAAAGGAGGAACTGGTCACTGCTTAAAGCTGTTTGGCTAATTATGCCTAGAATAAAAAACCTTTATCCTACAAATTCTACTTGATTATATGTAGTTTTGCAGTTGACACGAGACTCAACTTGAGTCTCTGCCATGTTGATATGTGGTGTTATTCCCTCCTCCCGCCCCCCCCCCATCTCCAAATACTAGAAGGGGGAATAAACTAAAATGCATTTATGATAAATTAGTTTCAGATATACAGTCTCCATAGATAAATGGCTTCAGAGACTTGATTACAGTAGCCTTATAATAAGTCTTAAAGTCTTGTAGTGTACGTACTCCAATTTTATTATTTTCAAAGTTGTTTGGCTATTAGGTCCTTTTTATTTTAAAGTGAAGTTTAGAAAGAGCCTGTCAACTTCTACACATACAAATTTTGATTGGGATTTTATTGAATCTATAGATCAATTTGGGAAGAGTTGAGACTGTAACAATACTGGGTGTTCCGAACCATGAACCATGGTATATCTCTTCATTTTTTTAGATATTCTTTAATTCTCTCAGCAGTGTTTTGGACTTTCCATTTACAGGTCTTACAAATCTTTTGCCAGATCTATCCCTAAGTATTTTATATTTTTAAAATTTTCAATTTCCAGTGCTTGTTGTTAGTATGTAGAAATGCTGTTGATTTTTGTATATCACATATCACTTTCATTCACATTCCATCGACTAGAACTCAATCATAGCCACCCCTGCTGAAGGTTTGACTCTAGCTGTCTTCGCAGAAAGAAAAGAAAACAAAATTTATGAATAGCTAACTAGTGACAGCCCAAATATTGACTATGTGATGAAAATGTTCAAGACATAGAAGTCTCTTTATTTTTGTTGCAGTGTAATATATTTTTATCATGCAAAAATTGCTTTCGGGAGCATTTTTAAGTTTTAACCCCTTCATATGATGCCAATCATGTACTAATAGATTCACTAGTAGAACATAAAAAGAAATAATAACAGAATTAAGCTTATACACGTATTTGTCATTTGATGAAGGTAGCACTTCAGAATTGCTGAGATGAACTTGGAGTTGCAATTTAATATAAAAATCTTAGCAGCAACGCAGACAGGTAATGTTTGAGATACCTATCAGATTGGGGAGATGCCCGGGCTAGAAGTAAAAATTGGGGAGTCATCTGGATATAGATGGTATTTAACGTATGAGATTGATGAAATCACCAAAAGGCAGAGTAGAGACTGAGTGCTAGCTACTCCCAGGTTCAGAAGTTTGGCAGGTGAAGACATAGCAAAGGAGACTGAGAAGTAAGAGTCCAGGGTTCGGAGGAAAATCAGTGTGGGAGGTTAAGTGGAGAAAATTTTTCAAAGAGGAAGTGATCCCTGTGCCAACTTATAAATCACATAAGATGAAAACTGAGAATTGACTATTCAGTTTAGCTATGCGGAGGCCATTGGTGACCTTGACAAAAGCAGTTTCAGGGAGCTACAGAGACAAAAGCCTGATTCGAAGGGATTCAAGAGAAAATGAGAGGAAAAGAATTGGAGATAGCAATTTTAGACAGCTTTCAGGGAGTTTTGTTCTAAAGATAGGCAGACAAACAAGGTGGTAGCTGGGGAGGGCTCTGTGGTCAAGAGAGGATTTTTTGTTTTAAGACGAAAGAACTTACAAAATGTATATGTGCTGATAGAAATGATATGAGAAAATACATGATGCAAAAGAGAGACTGGAAAATTGCTAGGATTCTATCTTGGACGAGTGAGAGGGAATGGGATCTAGTACCCAAGCGATGGGGCCTTAGAAAGATGGACAGTTCAGCCATCGTAACAGGAGAGAAGATGGGGATGCAGGGGCACAGTTGCAGGCAGGTAGGTAAATGTGCCAGTGATGAAATTCTCGTATTATTGCTTGTGTTTTTTCAGTGTAGTACAAAGCAAGGTCTTCAGCTACAAGTGAGGCTAGGGGAGAAGGGATGAATTATTCACCCGGGGTGGGGAGACTGGAGAGAAGTTTCATTGGCAGACAACACTAAAGGCTCTCTTGATGTTAGTAGTCATGAACTTAGAGTAAAAACAGTCAGCCTGGTTTCGTTTTTCTCCAGCGATGTTGTGCTCCATAGGTGCAGGCCCAGGGTAGGCAGTGTTAGTTTAGCCAGGGTTAGGTTTTGTCAGGAGGCTTTAAGGAAGTAAAAAGCAAGGCAAAAGAGTGAATTGAAGTGGGCTTAAGAGAAAAGTGAGGCCATGGGGTGGTGAAGGATAGGGGAAAACTGGTAGGCTCAGCTCAGATCGGAGAATCGTAGGGCTGGGGTATGAGAGAGGGTGAAGAAGGGAATCCTTGATTTGAGATTGTAAATAGTTTTCAGTCATGACCAGATAAAGGCCAAGAGTGAAGGAGAAGAGATCAAAGGATTGTAAGGCCAAGAAAGTGGAAGGATTTCTATGTGGATCCTGGATGCGTGCTCAGAACCTGAAGGCCTTTTCTATTATTTCCTAATATTCTTGTTGCTGATATATTATCTGATGACAGTTTTAGTATTTCTACCGGGTAAGAGTTTCTTGTCTCTCCTTTCATAGTTTCTGTTTCTTAGTCCTTGGTGCTCTACAAGATTTTCTTGGTTTCTTGGTATTAATTGTCTTTCATTCCTTCTATTGCATTTAAAATTGTGGCCATTATATTTCTAATTTCCAAGCGTTCTCCCTTCTGATTAACTTTTCATAGCATCCATTTCTAGGGAAAAAAAATCGTTTTTGATGATCTGCATGATTTGTTCTAATACATATATAGTTCATTTTCTCCATTAAGTTCTTTTTCTCCAATATAGTTCTTTTTCTCCATTAAGATCATACCTGCACTCAGCTATTATATTTTTACATATAATTTTTTTCTAAGTGAGAAAGTATATTATGTTAGTAGTTAACATTTAAATATCTTTTCATTTTTAGGTATCAAAAAGTAAAGATGGAAAAGAACAAAGTGAAACTGTATCACCGTCCGAAGATGAAACATTCTCCTGGCCAGGTCCCAAAACGGTGATGTTGAAAAGAACATCTCAAGGCTTTGGTTTTACATTAAGACATTTTATTGTTTATCCCCCAGAGTCTGCAATTCAATTTTCATATAAGGTAAGAGAAATAATTAAAGTAACTCGAAAAAAGCACAAGGCTATTCTTATCTCCGCCTTGTCTTCCTTCTGTCTTAGAAGTGTTCTATTTTCATTGTTATTATATTCTTTTAGATGTTGTTCTACCTTCCAGAACAAAAACTTTAATCTTCTCTGAAAGGTTTATACTGGTTATTAACTCCACATCTATTTTGCTAGGACTTGGAATTTCAAACTTCATTCTGTTTTTTTTTTTTTTTCCTAATACGTATCTGTTTTTCTACTATCTAGAAAGATGGTGAGTTTTCTGGGCAGAGAACGTAGACAAAATAGTTGGTTAAAATATTCTGACAGTTATAAAAAGTTATTGGGATTAGAATAGTACTTAACTTTCAGATATGTAATATGATGGCAAGTCAGAATCTAAAAACACAGCTTCTCGCCAGAGTGAATTACATTAACACGCTTCAGTGTATAGTAACATGGTCTAATAGGGGGCGGCATGGAATAATTATACTGGCAGCAGACGCACTGAGTACTTGCCCTGTGTTCTTTACTGTTCTTTGTGAGCGTTATCTCACTTCATTCTTAGCTCCATGTAACAGATGTGGAAACTGATCTGAGTCACATAATGAGAGAGTAACTCGTGGATTTTAACTTGCCACCATGAATGCCTGATGCTTAACTATTGTACAACAGTGCGAAGGAAATAATGATATTTAGAAGCGTTGTGAGATCTTGGCCAAGCCACTTAACTCCTCTTGGCTCCTGGATTTCCATTTAATTCGAGGGAACTGAACTAGAAGATTAGAAAATCTTTTCTAACCCTTAATTTCTACGGCTCTGAGGTGGTCTTTTAAAATGTGGTGTCAAATTGCTTCTGGAGATCACACACTTCTTACTATATCTTTGCAGTAAAATGTCTTAAGTTCTTTAAAGTACTGAGTAGTTTTTAAGAGTTATGAATAATTGCTACCTTTGGAATTAAAATTGATCACTTTGGGTTTCTTGAAATGTCTATAAAACTACTGAACTGGGTTCTCTGAGAATCTGCTTTATCTTAAAATATCTAAAATAGTATTCTTGTGTATTAGGTTACATGTGAGAGCACTTGATAATTTAAGAGTCCCTTTAATTACATATTAAGACTGAATTTATTTTTGTGTTTTTGTTTTGAAGGAGAGCTTTGGGTCATGATGAACGTATAGGTAGTACAATTTTTATAAGATAACTTTACCAAACACAAGTTAAAATACATCATCATCACCATCATCATCATTATTGTTATCATTATTATTATTATTGGGAAATATTTCTAGAAATTTTAGTAACACAGTATAATTGTTAACAGTGTAGTCATTGGGAGTCAAAAGAGCCTGGGTTTGAGTTTCATCTCTACCCCTGGTTAGCTCTGTGACCTTGGGTAAGTCACCTAAGAGACAATAAAAGTACCTTTCTCACAGATTGTTATGTTGATTAAAAGATATAACACATGTAAAACACTTAGTACAGGCGTTGGCATACAGTAACGTTCAGTAAACTTTAACTGTTAATGCTATTATTTAACACAAATGTTTTTGCAAATAGGTCTCAGACTTATAAATTTTACATGGAAAATATATACTGAAATCTTTTCCTTTTCAATTATGATTTTTGTCCATTCACATCAAAGGAATTTAAAAAATAATATTGTATAGCTTTAGAAATGTGAAATGAATACAACAATGTATTATGTCACTTAGCTGGTAGCAGAGCTTATAACCAGAAAAAAGTATATGTTCGGTCAGCCAGAATCAAGGTCAAAAGTTATATAATAGATCAGTCCTTCACTAAGTGTCCTTTTTCTTTCTACAGTATGTTGTAGCTTTCTTATGATAGATGCTCAACAAATATTTGAATAAATGTATTTTCATACAAGTTTTTCCAAAGTGCTTTTCTGATTTCCCAGCTAGAGGTAAAAAACATGACAGCAAGGCAGCCTGGTAACAGTGAAAGCAACCAGGTAGCTAAAGCTCAGAATCGAATGCAAGAAATGAAATATATAGCAATTTGGAGCGAGTGAATTTATATAAAGATAGTTCTGGGTCCTATAGCAGCCCCTTAAAGGCACATTTCAGTAAAGTACAGTAAATAAGGACCAGCCTGGCCCTCTCTCCCAAGTTCTAGGTGCATCTGTCAAGCTGCCTGCTTTTGACACCTCTACTTGGGTATCTCTATTAGGCATCTTACACTCAAAGTGTCAGAAACTGAACTCCTGATGTCCTCCCTCTAAGTTGGCTTCACCCACAGCCTTCCTGTCTCTGTTTATGAAGGCTCCATCCTTCTGGCAGAAGGCTCTGTTAATTAGATTGTACTTGGCACGCTCTAGGAAGGGCAATTTACATTGGATTGAGCCTTGCTATGATTTCACCAGAGTTTATAAATATGTATTCATGTATGGATATATATTTTTTTATTTTGTAGGATGAAGAAAATGGCAACAGAGGAGGTATGCTGTAAAAGTTTTAATTTTTATCTGAATGTTTTTCTATTCATGCCTTTCTGTTCTTTAAGTAATATTAAATAAAAGGATATAGTTTTTGGAGTCCAAATATATAACTGTTTTTAGATGTGAAAGTCATAGAAATGAAATATTTTTACCATGGATTTCAAAGTTTTATGAATTTATTGTTTCATCATAATTTGAACATGTGATGATTTTATTGTTAATTATATATTAGTGTTTATGGGAGGAATATATCATGATTCTGAGGAAAGTAATTCTGAGATTTTTATCCAATTAGTAATTTTTTAAATTTAGTGATTCTTTTAGGTAAGAAGTGCTGTGTGTTTTATCTACTTGATTTATTGATTCAAATATTGAAAAGTAGAGTATTGTGGTTCTTGTAGTTAGTCTTACTGTTGGATTTAAACATTATATTTAATTAGCTTAAAAGGAGAATCAGGCTGGGGATAGGGTTATATCTTAATAACCCTCATTTTTTTTTTTTGTTTTAATATTGTATGAACTCCAATGAGTTAAAATTTACACACGATAAAATGCGCTTGTTTTTAAAACTTATTTTTAGATAGTTTTAGACTTTTAAAAAAGTTTCCAAAACAGTATAGAAAGTTTTCATTAATCCTTAATTCAGTTTCCCATAATATTAAAAACTTATATAACCATAGTACAATTAACAAAATGAAGAAATTAACATTGGTATGATGCTGTCACCTAAACTGTAGACTTTATTTGGATTCTTACCAGTTTTTCTGCTAGCGTCCTTTTTCTGTTCCAAGATCCTGCGTTGCATTCAGTTGTCATGTCCTCTTTGTCTCCCCTAATCTGGGACAGTGCCTCATCTTTCCCATGTTTCATGCCCTTGATACTTTTGAAGAGTACTGCTCAGTTATTTTGTAGAATGTCCTTTAATTTGGGTTTATCTGATATTTTCTCATCATTAGTTTGAAGTTATGCATTTTTATCAAGAATGCATTTGCACCTATTTTCATTAAGCATATAGTATTTTGATAATGCCTAAATTGTGAAACCACCATTCCAATCAAGATATGCTATCGAAAAGAACCTTTCTGTCATCCCATAAAGTTACCTTGTTCCCCTTTGCTGTCAGCACGCTGCTCACCCTAGACAATCAGTAATCTGCTTTGTGTCTTTAGTTTTGCCTCTTCTAGAATTTCTTCTGAATGGAATAATACAATTTATACTCTTTTGTTTCTTTCACTTGGTGTAATATTTTTGAGATTCACCGTATTGTACGTATAGGTACTAATAGCACTATCTTTTTTGCTGGGTAGTTTTCCCTTATATGGATATACCACAGATTGTTTATCCACTCACCTTTCATAGACCCTTGTAATACCCGTATTTGATTTGAGGTCTTGGAATGGTTATATTAAGGTTTAAAATGAGAGGAAATGGTTTCTTTCAGCACTATCAAAAGTAATCTGAGAGTGTAGGGCCAGGTAGGACCCTTCATAGTTGTCACAGTTGTGCAAGATAGGCCACTCCTGTGTCACCATCTGTCATGCACCAGTGTTAAGGATGAATTCCAAATGTTACTTGGCAAGGGTTAGAAATTGGCGTCAGTGGGAAAGGGAAAATTTACAAAGCCAGTATCAGCAAGAGAAAAGAGGATGCAGGTCTTTTATCTTCCCATCATCCTATGGAATGAAGTGCTGATGCTGGGCAGCCTGCTGGGCACACAGCATCTGGAATTTTACACCTGTCATATTCTGGTCTCTCTTGGAGAGAAATACACTTCTAACACATGTAGAAGAACATAGTTATAATTATAATACTTTGCACAAATTATTATATATCTGACATAGCTCACTGAAGTGAATGGATTTAATCACATGCTTTGGCTGGAGAGAATAGACTTTTAACATCTGTAAGGAAAAACCAGAAGGTCCAGGTTCAACACAAGGCTATTTGGAGGGTCATGGTAAAGTGAGACCGAAGGGTGTGACCTGCTGGGGAATATTACAATTTAATACCTATTTTATTTATTGACTTATACCTAATCTCATCCAAGAAAGGGTTTATGTCCACATGCAGAATTACCTGTATTACAGTAAGACAAAAAATAAGGTTAAAAAGTTGATGGCAAAGAAAAATTAATTAAACTGACATTTGGGAGATTTAGTACATAAAAATGGGTGCTGTAGATTCTACACTGTTATCAAAAATGAGCTCTAAATCTGCTTTTGAGCTTTTCCAGTGGTCAGAGCAAAAACAAAAATACGATTAGTTAAGAATTCACATTATCCATAAGAAAACAACTTCTCGTTTACACTGAAGTCTGAGAAAGGTTTCTCCAATGGGCCCTCATAATGGAAAGCAAAGAGTAATACAATAGATAATATCCTCAGTACCATTTCTTCATGTGGCTATTTTTTAGTGGATCCTTTAACATAAGCTGATTTCAAAACCCTAACATCCAGTTCAGTTTTAAGGGCTTCTCAACTGGGGACCGTTTTGCTCTCCAGGGGACACTTGGCAACATCTGTAGACATTTTTGGTTGTCACAGTTGGAGGGATGGTGCTGTGCTCCTGGCATGTAGCAGGTAGAGGCCCAAGGTGCTCCTGAACAACGTATGATGAACAGGGGCAGCACGCCCACAGCAAAGAATTATTCAACCCAAAATGTGAATAGTGCCTCTGTTTACAATCCCTGGATTACAAGGATGGACCCTAATACAGCGTGGTCTAACCGTATATGTCCCTGAATCTGTTAATACAGTGACAGTATTCAGACCATTTAGAAGAATGGACATTGAAGGTGGCATGTCTAGTGATCTCTTATGATGATTATTCTTTACAACTGAATTTCTATATGAATTGAGTTACTGCTGTAATTTGAGATTAAATTGCCTGGCTGTTCTACTGGCATTTTATGTTATTGATGAAAGAATTATCATAAGTAAGAAAGAGGTTACATTTTAAGAAAATAGAGTCAATATAATAACAACTAGAAGGTAAAATAAAAGAAAAAGTTAACAAAGATGTAAATAATTGAAGTGTAATAAAAAGTTAACATCAGGAGCCTAACAGATTGATAGAGACAATAATTATAAGCCTAGTTAACAAAAATTTTAAAGACTAATAGAGGAATTAAAATAAACACAACAAAATTAAGGCTTTAAAATAAAAGAAGTACAAATTCAAGCACCTCACCTCCTGTGAAGCAAGATTCATCAAAGTAAGACATATATAAAGTCCAGAACATTAATACTTTTTTTTTCTTAAGAAGAATGCGAAAGGCATAGAGTACCTAAAGAAACTGTTTTATAATATACCTGGAAGGAGAACTGCTTGATTTCAACCCCCTCCCCTCCACCCCTAGAATGGTAGAAATTAGCATATGACTGAGGACTTAATCTGCACCAGGCATTGTAATATATATTGTTATTCTTTTTAATCCTCACTATAATGCTGTGCGATGTGAGACAATATTCCCATTTTGTAGATGTGGAAACTGAGGCTGGGAAACATAAAATAACTTGCCCAAGATCTCACAGCTAAGTGACAGAGTTGTATGTGTCCAAGTCAGGTGTATCTAACTCCGAAATCCATCTTCTTTAACTCTGCCATCTTACTTCTGTTGACTTATTTTTAAGTCTTTCTTCACTTCTTTAATTTGTTTTAAGAATAATTATGTCTTTTAAACAATAGTTTGACTTTAGAGTCAAGAATTGGGAGATAAATACAGGGCATATTTAGAATGTTATGAAATTAACTGTAAAATTTCTCTGCCTTGAGAAAGTTAAAAACAAGGAAACTTGATCCATATTTATACGAATATGTACCTAAGGACAAAGAAATCACATGAAAGTCAGGGATATCCCAAGTTTAGAGGCCCCGAACATCTTAAAGGAACAGCCATCACTGGTTCCTCAATCCTGAGTATCTGGCTAGCAGTGGACCTGGAAAGTTCAATGAGTTTAAAGGAGGGTGGTAAAAATTAGCATATGATTGAGGACTTTATCTACAGCGGGCAGTGTTCTGTCCGCCTTTGCTTCCCAGGGCCAGGTTTTACTCTTATCATCCCGATTGGTAATGGGGTCATAGGTTAGTCCACAAAGGCCTAGTTAGTTTAAGGATAGTAGTCGTAATACTTTTCCAACTAAACTGATCAATTCACGAGAACATAGTCTATGTGAAAAAATTTCTGACTTCTGAACAATTGTAGATCAGTTTTTAGAATGCAACCTATTTAGAGACAGACCACGTATAATTTATTACTTCAATTTAATGAATATTATGATTTTTATTTTATTTCTCACTTCGTTTTAAAATTTATTTTCAAGCATATTGAGATTATGAAACTCTTTTATGTGAATTTTGTTTTAATGAAATAGAATCCTGGCCTCCAGTGTAATGATCCGAGTCAAAGCCTAGAGCCACTGGAGAGAAAATAATTGCCAGAATTGTATTCAGACTCCTAAGAGATCCTCTCATAATGCCAAAAATTCTGTGAAACAGTTGAAAGGTTTCATTTTGGTATTCTTTCCTTTTGGCAGTAGAGTGAAATCTCTTTGCCACTCAATTTTCTGATTATTTTTCTTACCCAACTTCTCTGTTCTATTCTATTTCTTATATCCTATATGTGTGTACTGTCTTGTATTTTAAAACTTATGTTTTTTTCTTGTTATTTATTTTTCTTTCTGTACCATAATGCAAATAACATTTACAAGAAAAAGGCCATTAAGGTAGGAAAATATTTTTTGGTGATAATAGTTGCTTGTGGATAATTGCTATCTTGCTGACATCTTGTTGTCCCTTTAAATCTCTAGAGAAAATATTCATAAATAATCAAAATAGAAATAATTGAAAGTTTGTAATTACTATTAGGTCTTCCTCTTCCATGAGTAAAAATTCTCAGTGTTCTAAAATGTTATATCATTTTGTTAGGTGCTTAAATAACTGTTAGATTTCTCCTTTGGCTTTAAAATTTATATTCAAGCATGTTAATAGTAGAGAAAAAA